ATCAAACAGAATGTAGTTTCACGAGCTTAAGTTTTCTAAGAAACAGGTCAAAAATTAAGAACAAAAATGACAATGATACAGAGAATTTAGTTTTTGCAAATCTATAGGCCGAAAGAGTATAAAGGTGGAAGGAGGATCGTTCGCAACATCACAAATACATAATTATTTACTCTTCAATGTTGGTTGCTCTTATAGACAATATTTATGACTTTAAATGTTATAAATAATTAAATTATGTTTATAGTATTTTATTAAAAACAAACTTTATGTATATAAAAATTATGTTCTTTACATTTATGATTATTTAAATTATGGTATTGAAAATTAGAGAAAGTTATTATTATGCCTAAGAAACCATTATGCATTTAGAAAACTATGCATATCAAAGTTTATGCGAAAAAACTTTATGCAAATACTGTTATACCAAACTAAATTATGATGAAAAATGTTATGCGTCTAAGAGGGCACCCTTATTACAATGGACATCACACAAATACAGGCAATTACATAGACATGACAGTGGCACATAATAATGGAAGAAGAAAAAATAAAAACAAGAGTAAACTGAGCAGTGCCACCCATTCACCAACAAGATGACCACTGCAACGGGACCCCACTCAGCATATGGCCCACGGTGACGAAGGCCACGGCGCTGGTTTTCAGTGTGCCCCATGCCGAGTGAGGGTCACGGACCATTGGACCAATCGCACCTGGTGTTAAGTGAGATGCAGTCTAGAATGGTACATATCTGCCCTGTAAGTGCCTATTCACTCTCGCCTTGAATACGCCCGGATTATAGTGTTCAGGAAATACAGCAGCAGGCAGCGAATTCCAGTCCCTAGCTGTTTGCCTACTATAAAATATAATTATCTGGAATGCATACAATATTAGTTTTAGGGCTGATTTTTCAATGGTCGGATAACTTTTAACTGAAGAATAAGTTTGGCATATTGACAGTTTTAGTATGGGAAATATGTCAAAATGACAAAGTTATTCCTCACTTAAAATATATCTGACGATTGAAAAATTAGCCCTTACTCAATTTAAAAATTGGCCAAGTGCGTGTCGTGACACGCGCAGTGTAGGGTTTAGTTGTCCGTCGTTACCACAATATTTCAGAAGCAAGCAATTACTTCATCTAAAGTCACTTAATATTTAATATAACTTCACCTTTAATATAACCTCGGACGGACAGACACATGGCCAAACTATAAGGGTTCCTTGTCAGTAATACGGAACCCTAAAAACGTAAAAAAAAACAGTCGCTAGCGATGACGTTTAATGTTAACTCGCAATAAGCACACAGTTAATGTATTATTACATCTGTAAGAAAGCTTCTTTGTGAAAGTGTTTGGTGGTCATTATATTTAATTTTAATTCTTACGAAAATAGTTAACATTATTCAATTAATCAGCATAATTTAGTTATGAGATTTACTAAAAACTATAAAAATTCCCGACCTGATATGAATGAGTTTATAAATGAAAGGGTCGCTAATTCGCTATGCTAAAAAAACGCTCGTTCCCAACGAGTCACTCCCAAACAAGTAACCCTGTTATTCGTTGAGAAAAACATCCGTTACTCGATAGGACATCTGTTTAATTTATTGTCCCAACGAGTCACACTGCTACTATAGTCTGGCCTGCGAGCACGTAGAATTTTGTCCAATGACCCCAAGCTACCCATCCTTATCGCTCGCGCGTAATTATGTTGCTGTCGCGCTCGCACACTCACTGTGGCCGCCCGTCGCACAGTCACAGACCGGGCTTTAGCTGCAGTGTGACTCGTTGGGATAATTTAATCACAACCAGTTACACTGTTACTCGTTGGGACTTCTTTCAGTTACGATTGTTTGACGGGTCACACCTTTAGTTTAAAAGTTAAAACAGGATTTCGTTACGTTCGTGGAGTAACAGGATTACTCGTTTGGATGTGTTGGGAACAAGCAAAAAAAATCATCTTTGTGGTGTTCCCTTTCCTTTTGAATTATGTAAATAAACCTTTAATTATAAGTCTCTATGAACAATATTTTTTAATTAAAATTGGGTTTTTGCTAATTGTAACATATCTTTCCAGGTTCATAGTGTACGATGTGGCCCAGGTGAATATGAAGTATCTTGTTCAAGTGAAGGCCCACTTCGAGTAATGGCCCGACTCGTCTTTTTAATGCTGTGATTTTTACGATAGACTATAATTATTTTTTATTGAGGTTGCATAATGAAGTACTAGGTCAAAATTTATTGTATCCAATTTAAAATGCAATACAAAGTCCTATTTTGTTAATTAATTCCCGTCAATAGTTTATCCTGTTGAATAAAGTTAAGTAACAAAATAGACGTACTATAAGTAGACTGTACCTACTTAGTTATAATATTATATTAACCGTTCTAAATAATCATGACTGTATTTTTATACTCGTAATACTTATTGTACCTACTACATATTTATATTGTTTTTTTAAATAAATACTTTATAAATTAAGTACGTTTTTTGCTTTCTATACTTTAAATTATGTACTACACACGGCCACACTGTTTACTATCCATTTCCGTTTTTGCTCTCGCTCTAATCAAATGGCGATTCTTTGCGATAGAACGAGATGACATGACTGGCAATGGGCAGTTATAGTTCCAAAATACTGAACCACGGTAATAATATCATACAGTATTGTGACTTCATATAAACCGACGAAACGCGAGTTTTCCTTCGAATTTCAAATCACGGGACGTGGTTGAGATCCAAAAGTTAGGGGTGTCGCGAATGTGCCGAACGGACATCGATGGCCTAGTGTTGAAAATGACTAAGGTGATTGAATTTGACTGACCGTCTTAAACGATCAAATTTGTCAAAAACTAGTCATTAACTGTCAGAAATTGACATTTTCAGTCAGTTTGGTTTGAAATGAAAATTATATTGTATAAAACCAGCTTTGGCCCACGACTTCGCCAGCCTGAAATTAAAGTAACAGGTCATTAAGTACTCATTATAATTAGTAGATTCAAAATTATTTTAGCATATTTTTTTAAATTAAATCTACTAATCACAAAACAACACGCATTTTTATCCTATTCCATTCACAAAGTATTTTGTTTGTCTAATAAAAAAAAATTACAATCACAAAACTAGATAGAAATTCTAAGTAGACAGATGTAATTTGAATGGGTACTATAGGTGAGCAGCCCTATCGCATGTTGTCATACCGTGACGTACCGCGGGGCTGTTGACATTTATTTCAAAAATATGGCCGAGTTGGAATACTGTATAGATAGTATTACCGTGACTGAACTGTCCTATGCATGACATTGACAGTGGGGCGCCACCGTCAATACCGGATCGTTGGTTCCGATTTTTGCCATGTTGAAAACCCCATATAGTTGAACGATGGTAGCGCCCCCCTGTCATTGAGTTTGGTGGGACAGTTCAGCGTGGGTCATCACATACATTTTTTTTCGTGAATTATGTACTATTAGGCTAAGAACTCATGGCGCGATTTTCACCCGCGCCCGCGGCCCGCAGCTTCTGTAGAATATGGACACATAAGTAAAAACTAATACACAACTCCCGACGCGGTTTTCGCCCGCAGCGGGCGCGGTTGTAATCGGGTCGGCGGGCGACCATTTTGTACCAGTGACTTAGCACGCAGCGCGGTTTAAAATCGCGCGCGCAAATAACCGCTCCCGGAGTTTTCGCCGCGGGTGCGGGTGAAAATCGCGCCGTGAGTTCTTAGCCTTAATGTCACAATGACACTGTTACTTCTTTCATGAAATTCTTCGATTGCTGTTTCGACTTGTTTCGACTTTACAAGCTTTCAAGAGCCTATTTTGCCAGAAAGTAACTCGATGAAAGACAATGATTTCAAAATATGGGAGTAATTATGAAACTGCCTTTAGAGGTAAATAGTTCCCAATTATTTTTATATAAACATTGATTTATTATCTACCTTTTTCCTTGTTAAATTACTTACACAGCACCTTACACGTCCAAAATTAGGTTTACTTAGCTACTTAGCCATACCCACATTGTGGCGGAAGTAATCCGCCTTCGTGAGATGAGTAAAACCAACTAACGCTCGATTCCCATATTCAATCCTTGTCCAAATCCGGATTACAACTGTCAAATTGAATTCAGTTTTAGATTATAATTATATTTCCAAAATTTTCGATGCATTTACACTTTACTATTGTTTAAATAGTCTTATAAACAATATAAAAATGTAAAAACATCAAAAACCGCAGTTATTTTGGCCAAAAACATATTAAAATTTGACAGTTGATAATCCAAATCCGTATAGGTAATTTGGATTAGGATTGAATATAGAAATCCAGCATAAGTAATTATACCTTTGATTGTAAAATTTTCAGAAACTGCAGGTAGCAGTAATTCTGGCTGTAACGTGGATGACATAACTGAAAAGGCTATTGGAGACTTTGGTTCTTGGCAACTACGAATAAGCCTACTCATGGCATTGTTAAAGCTGCCCATGGCTTGGTACCAGCTCAATATAATATTTATGGCTCCTCCACAAGACTTTTGGTGTGAAAAACCTGATTCTCTATCAATGTATTCGGATGACGAATGGCGTAAAATGTGCATTCCAGTAATTTCATTTTGTCGAATTCTTTAACAAATTATTTAAACCTATCTTAAATACTTCGCTATATAAAAATACCTACTATTCCTTTGCAGCACATTGAAGAACATCCGTGTCTTATATTCGATCCACAAATATTAGCACTCTCACCAGTCATAGATCGTTCCCTTATACCTCTTGTAGAATGCAAAAGATTTGTGTACAACAATACCTTGTTCAGGCGCACGATTACATCGGAATGGAACCTTGTGTGTTCTAAGCATTGGTTGGTTCATGTACGTCCGAAATTATGTTTCATTCAAACATCTCATAAACTTGATTAAAATGTGGTTTGTAAGGATTTTTTTACTGATTCCAGCTAACTCAGTGTATTATGATGTGGGGAGTTCTTCTTGGAGGTATAGTGTTTGGTGTGATTGCGGATAAATACGGCCGGCGATTACCACTTATGATTGCTATAGTGATGCAAAGTGTGTGCAGTTACATTGCCAGTTTCCTTCCATGGTATTGGTGGTGGTTAGGAGTATGGTTTCTGTTAGCATTGGCTTCTGGAGGCTTGGGAATTATCTCCTTTGTGGTTTGTATGGAGGTAGGTACGAACCAAAGTTTCACTTGGAACATTAATTTGTTTATAGGGATTTTACCTCTGGCATTCATTGCAGGCAGTAAGTGGAAAATGGAGAACTACGATTCCTGTATTATATCAACTTCCTTTTGGATTTGGGAGTGCTGTCATGGCATGTTTAGCCTATTTCCTTCGGGACTGGAGGAAGTTGGAATTTGCTTTGGCAACCTTATCATCTTTATACATATTGTATTGGTTCTGGGTACCAGAATCGCCGCGGTGGTTACTAGCTACAGGACAAATTGACAAAGCTCTCGGTATTTTAATTAATGATTTTGACCCACAGTTTAATATCAAATGTACAGTATAAATTAGGTACCTAGAAAAATATTTATTAATTCTACCGACTTTGTAGACGTTTTAAGAAAAGCTGCCATTCAAAATGGAAAAGAAAATGACTTCCACAATGTGAAACACTTGCTGCCAAAATGTAAAGGACAGAAGAGACATGATCCAGGATTCATTGCGTTTTTTAAATTTAAGAACATGAGACTGAAAACTTTATTGCTATCAGCTAATTGGTAATAATAATAAGTGACCTACCTACCTACCTTAAACCTACCTAAGTAGGTACCTTATGTAAATAATTACATACCAAAATAGCCTATTCAATCTCGAATCGCCATTAATGAGTTACTTAGGTATGATATGATGTTTGAGAGTTTGTAAGGCAAGATAAAATGTCTTCATTGCAGGTTCTTTACAGGATTAGCATTTTACGCCTTTTCTCAATATCTTGGCATGATTGGAGGAAATATTTTTTTAACGGTCGCTGTAAGCGGTATCATTTACGTTCCTGGTGGGCTTGTATGTGCGTTTATTGTAACAAAAGTTGGAAGAAAAACCACACTATGGACATTTCAGCTTCTTACTGCTTTATGTTTTGTTTTCATTCTGTTAACACCGAGAGATGTCTTCAAGAGCGACTGGCCAAGATTATTGTTTGCTGCTATAGGATTTGGAGGGTTAGCTGTACGTATCCATGTTGTCAACCAACACTCTTGATTTACAAGCAATTACTTAATGGTCCAGTAGAATTAGATTTTAAATCGGAAATAATTCCTACAAAAGATTTTATTGCTTTAATGGCTTCATTGGTTGCCCATTAAGACTCTCTAGTAGTTTTCGACTTCGACGGAGTTGTGCTTAAGTGGTGGGGGCTCCCGAAAGGGGCACTTTTTCGGTTTTCCGGTTATACCGCGTAAAGGACTTACCCTATCGAAAAGTGGTCTTCCTGACGGTTGAAGGGCCTTTAATCCTGCATTAGATAAGACCAAATTCATATGTTTTGGACAAACCATTCTCGTGCAAATGTTCGGCAAAGTAGAAAATATGTGTATAACTATTGACCCTCTCCACGTCCAATAACTCGTCACCCGTAAGCTCCCAAGCCTTGTAAAGGGTCGTCTTAACCAGCGCGGCGTATCCCTGTCAAGGCTCACGAGTTGGATTCGCTTATCCTTGTTTGTCCCAGCCGTTCCTTAACTGCGGTTGCTGCACCTCTCCCTGACACTCTCCTGAACGACTCTGTGTTACCTAATGTGACTGCCCCTCTTCCTTGTACCCTCCTGTACGATTGCATTGCTTAGCCATATGCCTGGTCCAAGGTTAGACGCCACAAAATCAACTTCGTACGCGTGAAAATAGTTTAAATACTATTTTCCGTGCTTGCAACATTTTTCTTTACTGCTTCGCCTCTATTAGTCGCAGAGTAATTGTATATATCCTATAGCCTTCCTCAATTTATGAGCTATTCAACACAAAAATAATTATTTCAATCAAACTAGTAATTCTTGAGATTAGCGCGTTCAAACAAACAAACAAAAAACTCTTCAGCGTTTTAATATGAACTTGTTGTTGTTGATTTTTGGCGTCGAACCTTAGACCAGGCATACGGCTAGGCAATGTAGTCGTGCAGGAGGATAAAAGGAAGAGGGGCAGCCACAGTAGGTAACACAGAGTCGTTCAGGTAAGTGCCAGGAAGAGGTGCAGCAACCGCAGTTAAGGAACGGCTGGGACGAACAAGGATAGGTGCATCCAGCTCGTAAGCCTTGATAGGGTTACACTGGTTAAGGCGCTCCTTTTCAAGACTTAGAAGCCTGCGGGTAACGAGCCATTGGACGTGGAGAGGGTCATTAATTATACACATATTTTCTACTTTGCCGAACATTTGCACGAGAACGGTTTGTTCAAAACATAAGGATTTTGGTCTTATTTAATGCAGGATTAAATGCCCTTCAACCGTCAGGAAGACCACTTTTCAATAGGGTAAGTCCTTTACGCGGTATAACCGGAAAACCGAAATCCGTCGAAGTCGAAAACCTAGGAGTCTTTATGGGCAGCTAATGAAGCCATTAAAGCACTAAAATCTTTAAAATCAATCAAAATTATCTTTATTTGTTTAGACTAATTAAATTAGTTCTTGCAAATCGTCAAATGCTCTTAAGGAGCCTATACATGTCTCATTCTTTTTTTGCCCTACCAGCGCTTCGAGACAAACATTTGGCAAGTGCTGAGAAGAAGCGCCGCAACAAACTCAGTCACTAGTAGTTTAGTAGGAATTATTTCCGATTTAATTCATTTTTGTGTTTAATTCTACTGGCCTATAAGGTTTCAATTTAAAATTAAGTAGGATTAGCCCTTGGGGGCACGAAAAAGAAAGTGCACCCTTTTTTCAAACTAAGTAGCTAGGTATGTTTCGCCAATTATTTAAGACCCGTAAAAGTAGGGATTTGAATTCAACCGTAACGGAGGTACCGAATAGCTATGTCAGCAGAGATCGCGGGTTACTTAAATTCCCCGTCCAACACAAACATTTGTTTTCTGTTACTTTTCGCCTATTCACTAATTTTATAATGCTTTATGTTAGACTCCCCGCAGGCTACAGACTTTTAGTCGGCCGATAGCTTGGCCCGATTCTAATTTGTGTGAAGAATCGACCGATACCAATGTGCGCACTTCCATACGTACTTAATTATTCATTATCAGGCCGACCTAACTATCAGCCGACAAATAGTCTGTATGTACCTACTCTGTAGCTAGGCTAAGTATTCTTTTAACAGGGGTCAGTTCCAGCACTATACCTTTATTCCGGAGAGATGTTTCCAACTCTGGGCCGCAACGCTGGAGTAGGCGGAGTCACAACTTTTGCTCGAATCGCTGCAATGATTGCACCCGGGGTGGTTGGGTTAGACGGCCTTCTACCGGACCTTCCATTGATATTGCTGGCTATCGTATCGTTTGCCCAAATGTTGTTGATTATTCCACTGCCCGAAACAAAGGACTACCCACTGCCAGATACATTGGAACAAGCTGAACAATTTACAAGGTAAAAGTGTTAGGAATTTGCCACACTGAATTCTGCGGTTAGGTCTAAAGCATTGGTTCCCAAACATAATTTAGACGCGCGCGCCCCCTTTCGACTATACAAAAAATTCTGCGCACCCCCTTCTCCAGTCAAATTATTTATTGGTCGCATCGAGCAGTCTGGAATGCATTCTCTCAGCGGTCGCAGGTTTCTTACAGATGGCCCGCGCCCCCCTTTTAAAGGTCTTTGCGCCCCCCAATTTGGGAACCAATGGTCTAACTAAAGGAACGCAGCCCGTATCATTTACGAACAATATTGGAGGACTCCTCCACTCCTCTATACATTTTGTATTGATGCGATCTGACCGTACTTACACACATTGACTTGTTACAAGACGACCGACAGATAGTATTGCCCGTACCCTACTACCTACCACTGACAGATTACCCTGACCGCAGACCGTATCAACCACAGATATTGGTATCAACCCACGATGGCAAATCCTTTGTTTTTAACGAGGGTTTAAAATGTAGTTAACGCTACAGGCAAAGCGTAACTATTAAACCTTTAATCTGCGCCTTTATTATAACTGAGTGCGACTCCTGCAGTAGTAGTATTAAGTAGAGCGTGCGGCAGCGGTCAAACCTACGTCTTACGTACCTAACAGTGCCCTAAGCACTAATAAGCTCGCGGATCTCTTTTTTCATCTAAGTAAAACGATTACCATACCATAATTACCATACCATAACGATATTAGTTCGTGCTTCGGGTACTGAGCTATGCATACGCTCTATCCACTAGGTACCGCAGCCCGCAGGAACCTACCTAGCTATGCATTAAAGGGGGCGTCCATTAATTACGTGAGACAATTTTGGCTATTAACCCACCCGCCCCCCTTGGTAAGATTTCATGAGATTTTTCCAGACCCCCTCCCCCACCCCCTAATCTCACGTGAGATTTTCCAAAATGCCTATTTGCAATGTAAATGAGATAATGCATGCTTCGAAAATATTAAGATTAGATTAGATTAGATTTTATAAAAAAACCCGACCTGTGTAAAAAAAAATTCTGAAATGATAAAACAAAACAATTTAGGCCCAGTTTTTTACTTATATTACAATTTTTAACTATTAGTTTAAATTTTGTTAAATTTAAGCATTGGTAGCAAACTGCGAATCTAAAAACTGAGCCTGTGTTCACAAATGCAGACGGAGGATTTACTCTGTTTGTTGTGGAAAAAAATTACGTGATATTTCTCGAGACCCCCCCTCTCCCCCACGTGAGATTAAGTGAGGTTTTCCTTGACCCCCTCCCTCCCCTAAAAGTCTCACGTAATTAATGGACGCCCCCTAAATACGCCTGTGACTTTATCTAATTCAATTTTTTTTTCACATTTCAGAAAAACCACTCAACGGGATCAAATACACGATAATTTAAAGAAAAAATCCATATTTGGTTTTATGTGAATAAAATTTTAATACAAAGTTACATAGAACACTGACATTCCTAATAAAATTACACATTTTATGATTGTTTTGGTTTACATTATGTCTAAAATAAATTATTTATACACCTATGTATACCTACTTATAGCATAGGATAAGTAGAAAACGGTAATTATGACCAGTCTGATCACTAGGTAAGTAAAATACCAAAAGATCACCATAAAGTTTTGAATAAAAAAATGAAACAAATGGAATTTCTAAATGCCTTTCTCGATTGAGTATGCTTATCAAGTCTTATGATAGAATGTATGGTGTAGTGTCTTGGACAATAAAACCTGATAAAACTGTTGCAATCCCGTCAGTAATAATAATTATGTTAGTGACCATGAAAGTCTATAACAATAAATTTTAGAAGTTTTCGATTACAATTACTATAATAAATTATTGAAATTACCACAAATGGTTTCTTTTGTAAGAAGTCCTTAAAACACATAAAAAATGACCATAGCATTAGTCTCTTGAGGCAACTATTTACATCTTACTTACAAACATTAACACATAGGTATTCATTAAAAATAGGTATTTAAAATTTTCGTTTCTAGTTTGATGCAATATTAGTACTTAATAACATTCATAGATTCATGCCACGGTCAAGAATAAGACTATTATTGTATAAGTCTACACATTTTATGGTAGTAAAGAATGTATCACATGATGGTGTACTTTTAACACTAACTTAGAATAATTGTTTTTTGGAATATGGAGTTTGCTTTAATAATACCTAATTATACATTTGTGTACAAAAACAAATAATTTAGATCTTCATATTTATAAGCAAGCAGAATAGAATGAAATGTAAAAAACACATCTTAATTAACATTACACATAACCAGAATGTTTGAGCCTCAAAATTATTTAGGAAAGCATAAAATTACATCCAGTCTTCACAATATACTCTCATCAATTAATGCACTATATGAAATATTTAAAAAAATGTGGGCTGTTTTTTTTTAATCAAAAAATATTACTACTAAGTTGTAAAAATAGTTGTACTAGATACATAAAATGCATACCCTGTACAGGGTTATCAGACTTAGTCAATCTTCTTAGGTTGGATTTGGTTTTTGATGTTTTCGATTCTATGCAACAAAGTTGGATGAGAATGATACCAAGCCGAATATAGTTTATCATAAATCGGATAATCCAAGTTATCTTTACCTAATTTAATAAGAGCTGATCGTAATTCATTAGGATAATTTAAAGAGACAGCAAAATTGTCAGCTTCAAATTCAAACTTCCTTCCCAAAGCTGTCGCAAAGAAGGAAAGTACAGAATTATAAGGGGCCAGAATCATTTGCAACACCACAATAAGACCGATAATAATTGGCTCTTGTCCTAATGGGAATCCCAGTGAAGTGTACAGCGAAGAATATCTAAACAGTAAACCAAATGCAGTGAAAAGGAGCAGCAAGTTTACTTCAGTCAACATAACTGACTTGACAATGTGACTGCAACTCCAGTGACCCAGTTCATGAGCTAAAACACCCAATATTTCTCCATCTTTGCAACCAGTGGTTTTCTTCTTTTCTTCATCATATTTTTCCAGCAAAGTGTCGAATAAAACAATTCTTTTTGCACCAAACAGGCCACTAAAATAAGCATTACTATGTGCTGATCTCTTTGAACCTTCCACAATATAGACTTGAGATAAAGGAAAATTTAGTTTTGATGCTAGATCTTCAATACCCTTTCTAAGTGAACCATCCGGCAAAGGCACAAACTTGTCAAATAATGGTGCAATCACAGAAGGGTAAATAGTTAACAACACTAGAGTTGCTACAGTTGTAAAAGACCATAGCCATACAACAAACATATTTCCACCAAGCATTATGATGTATATTGCCATAGAAATAATAGGCAGAGTAATAATAAGACTCAGTAACAATGACTTGATTTGATCTTTGATAAAGAATCCAACTGTTTGTTTATTGAAACCATGCTTTTCTTCAAGAACAAAGATTCCATAAATTGTAAAGGGCATATTTACCACAAAGTTAAACACAGTCACAAAGGACATGAATACACAGCTGATAACAATCTCTCTATCTTGAGACACACCAAAGAGAGCTGCTATTTCTTCAGACTTGTGCCAAGCTGAGTAAATCCAGCGGTTGTAGATTATTAGAGTGGTTAATGTTATGCTGTAGAGTTCCTTAACTATTTTAAACTGCGATTTGTCGATCCCATACAGTCGGGCCTTTTCGAAGGATTCTTCGTTGAGCATTTCTGATAAGTCATCAGGTATGTGGTTGTTTGTCTTATAGATTTTTAGCTGAAACAATAATATTTTGTATAATAATACGATTCAATCGATTATAACCGATATGACGTAACCATTCATAAGACTCCACGTTCATCAAATTAGCCAGAATTATTATAAAACCTTTCAACAGCAGTGATAAATAGATAATTTACTAACCTGCCGCAAGGAAAGATATAGTTCCCAAAAATACTCCCCCCAGGAGAATAAAAGTATTAAAAACAAAATCGTATCCTCGTCCATTGTCTTAGCTTACTTAAAAATATAGCAATACTTTGTAATAAATAAATTAATTAATTTAAAATCTGCAAAAGCGAGTAGGTATGACTCGAAAGAAACGCGACAAATAAATGACAGTGACAGTACTGACAGTGACAGCAGCAGCAAGCAGAGATTTTTTTTTATTCGAATCTTTCCAGGAACACTATGCTATACAGCCAAGTTCCACAGCGCGGTTAATATCAATATGCGAAAATGCACTACCCGAATGAATCCCACAATCATAGCCCACAACGATAGATACATAGATAGATCACGCTCTTAAAGCCACAAAATAAAGAAAGCATTTAATTTTATTTATGTCCAATTTATTAAAGAAAATGTTGTGATTAGATACTGTCTTTTATAAGACGTGGGCGGGGAGGGCACGGAAACATTATTGTCTTCCATAAAAGACCGTGGCGCTGAAAAGTTTAATTGTTATACAATGTGTTTATAATAATAATTATGACGTTGTTATAGGTCGCCCAACAAAAGTTGAGGCAAAGTGCGAACACGTATTTGGTACCTTCATGCGTACTTCTTACATTGATATTCATATTCATTTATTCACTTCGCTATTATATTTTATTTGAAGAAAAAGATAGATAAAAAATAATATTAAATATTAATAAATTGCATACCGTGAATAATTGTCATGCTTAGAAATAGCTCTAAATATTCAATAAAAATCACTCAGAATCGTTATGTAGGCAATATTTATGTTAAAATTCTTAAATTATTATAATAGGGTACAAAAAGCTAAGTTAACGCATTCTCCTGGCTAAACTGAAGTTAGAGTAAGCGGCGCAAAATGATTTATCTAATAATATTAGGTAGGTATGAGTAACTGCTTAACCGTTTAATCGGTTTTATCCTCATCGTTATATTTTATTTAGATTCTATTCATATTATAATAATTTTAACTTAACAGTATACTGCGACAAGTTATTTCAATTAGATTGGAGATTCCCTGCTGATATCACGGCAGGGGTTAGTGCCTCTTACCCTTCATGTTGACCGATATTTCTTCATATAAAAGGATGGTAAAATAATCTGGAACCACTTTCCCTCGTGTAATCGATTCATACGCATCCATTTTGTATTATTCAGATTTTGGAAATGGCTTTTATTAGATTAATCATAAGAAATGTACTTGCATTGATTTTGCTTATAATAGTGAGCAGCTGTGCAGAGGAAACGTGTGAAACGATGCCAACAGAGATTCATGTCACTAAAGGTACCTAAGTATTTATTATTTTTATTAAGTTAAGCAGCACTGGCAACCTATGTATATTAATCAAGGCAGCACTTTATGGAAACAAAATTATTGTAATAAATACGAAAGTGTAAGTACGAGTACATAATTATGTCTTGTTGGTTGTCCTAATAAATAAATAAAATAAAGTAGAATTACTGTTTGTTTGCAGGATTTATATTAAAAAGCTTCCTTACGCCTAGTTTGTTGACCATGTTACCATCATCTTTCAACATCTAAAAATATTATATTATTTTCTTGTCATTATCACGGGTGCCTTTCAACAACTTAATAAAAAAATATTCTCGGCCGCACTTCACTTGAAAACTTATCAACGCGCAAGTGCAAGTTAACTAGATACTTATGTAATTCATGATTTTAATTAGATTTTTATTTCACAGAGGAGTACGATGATATGGGAAGACTTATCCGATCCTGTAGTGGAGAAGTAAGTGTCAACAAATGTGAAGGAATGTGTAGCAGCCAAGTTCAGCCATCAGTATCAACAGCAACTGGGTTTTTAAAGGTAAATTTATATACACTCAACATCAAATAAACCGCACCTTCCGCGACGCAAACTTTAAAGATTTTCTTCTGACACAATCATGGTGCCCCAACAATTTTGGTGTTATTTGAAAGCCTAATAAATATCCTTAAAGAAAAACACATTTAATTTATTAATAAACGATTAACATAAACCATAAATGTGACTTGAAAAAAGTCCTCACTTTGGGCTCACCTCTGGGATCAATTAGACCAATTTTTATGGTTATAAAACCAAATAATGATCTCACGTGTCCTTTTTAACAGATGAATAGCGATTAATCCCAACTTAACAGTTTGATAGCCATAAAAGTTGGCTCAAGCATAACTACCTATTTTTTTAATAAGTGACTCTGGATCCTTCTAAAGACATATTTTTGGGGTAAAAACCTTTCCTTTAATAAAATGAATTTTAAACTAATATTTATTTTATTTAGAACTAGGCTTTTAAATGATGCCAATATTGGTGGGAAGTGGGAATGCATACGTTTGAAAGTGCTTGTCGCGGGAGGTGCGATTTATTTGATGTCGAGTGAAGTTAGGCCTACTTACATTTTATCGCGCTCTTTAATAAGTTGTCGGTTGATTACTATTAACGATTAGATATTATAATCTAATTAATCATCTCGGTGACTGTTGACTTAATATTTTTTTTTCTATAGGAATGTTTCTGCTGCAGAGAAAACTTTTTGCGAGAGCGTTTGGTAACTCTCACCCACTGTTACGACCCAGATGGCTTGAGGCTTGAAGACGAAGACCGGGCGATAATGGAAGTGCGTTTGCGTGAACCTGATGACTGCAAGTGCTACAAATGTGGAGATTTTAGCCGCTAATATTAACAATTAACTAAAGTTACCTCCAAAATGACTGAATTGTTTATAATCTAGCACATGGAAAATTGATTTATGTTAAAAAGAAAAAGTATTAATTAATTGAAAAGAAATTCTGTCAAGGCCTTTTGTGTACAATTTTAAATGTTATAATAAAAATAAATAAATAAATCACCTACTGTTTTATTTAAAGTGCGTACCTACTTAATTGATCATACCGACCCGATTAATTAGCGCACACATAATTATGCTATGTTATGTAAGCTGATCTCGATTTTTAAATCAAACGAAACTTAGCTCGAAATTGATTACATGTTATTAAGGATAAGAATTTTGAACATAAAATAAATTATTTTTCAAAACTGCCCGTAGGATGTTTTAAATGAAATTAAGAGAAAATAAATAAATGTGATTTCTTTTATTGTAAAGTTTTTACTATAAAATACCTTCCTACTTTCTACTTATTACTGTTATTAGGTACCTACTTTATTTATGTATTACTTCATGATTAAGTCGCTAATAGTCTAGTGTAACTACTGCAGAAGCAAAATGGAGGATTTAGCCTACATTCCACGCTGACCATTTTGCGAAGCTATTTGCATAAAATATACCAACATAGCCAATAGGTAAATTATCATCCGTTATCATTCAGTTCCACAGACTATTTATAGGGCTAGAATTAAATGAGTACTTTCTATTACCCTATACCTACTATTACCATGCAATACTTACATGCATCCAAAGAGGTCATACTTTTCAGACTACTTTTTTCCGACTCATTGCGATTGCGAGGCAACTGACCTTAACTGGATGTCAGTCTTAATCCCAACGAAGGAGTAGTAATATAAGATAGGAATTTTTTATAAACAAAGAAATAAAGTTATTTATTTAGCATGGCCCATATTAGTGTTACAAGTGAATGGCGACGGATTGTGAGGCTTGTCACCGGACCTGAGCCCCGATTACGGTAATCTTTAACGTCAACAATCCAGACACGCTTCTCGATTCTGCGATACGATTGGTCGTTCAACAGCGCACGTCAGCTGTTTTGACCAATCGTATTGCAGAATCAGAAACGCGTCTGGATTGTAGACGTTAAAAGTTACCGTAATCGGGGCTCTGGTATGACGACACTGACGACCACGACCACTCTGGCACAGTATATTATACATACATAATTATATGAGCTAAAAAGATATAATTTAGATACTGATAATAATTATGATTTACCTACTGTGACTCTGGCAAGAGTGTAGCGACGAAGAAGAAAAATAAAAGTGTTAGTAACAAAAAAGGTCTAGTGCCCCCACGCATTAGTATACTTCTAAGCTGGCCGAAAGTCTAACAAATCTAAAACAATTTTAAAATTACCTAAGTACCTATTAGGTGTAAACTTTTTAAATAAGACAATATAAATACCAGTTCTCGAAATAAAAAGGAATCGAAAAGTTTCAAAGAAAGCTGATAGCTGATATTCGTATACGAAAACTAGCCAAGTCAGATCATTCATAGTCTTCAATGTAATTAACCTAAGTTATAAGAAGAAATGATATTTTATGTTGTTATAAAGAACTGACCATTGATTGAACTAGGCACCCGTTTAGATTTCACTTCTATTTATTTATTTATTTATTTATTTATAGGTACAACAACAGAATACAATCTCAAACATTTTTATAGAATAACATTAGTTTTTTTGCATTCAAATTGAATTCCTATAAATGTTGCACACAACGTTTACATAGAATTCGTATTGTCGTTGAAGTCAACTGAGTCAACATTTCAACAACCAAGGCATACCTACCTATTATCATAATACTGAACTTGGCTCTCATTTCATAAAACATAAGTTTTTGGTTGGATAATCATTACTTTTTGTACTTACTTAAATAAAATTAGTAGGAATTTACTTATAACGTGATTAATATGCCGATTTTTTTATGTTAATACCTAAATAACCGCTTGAAGTTTATGAAATTTGGAGCACATAGGTATGTATCTCGCAAGTCCCAATATAATATGAGCCATTGACACGTTTAAATATGTGAAATAGATGTGAGTTATGAGGTAGTCAAAAGTGGCTCCAAAATGGTTCGTGTAATATTACATACAGTGCTGCTTGCCAGTTCTGTTACTTGAACTTGGCTGATTCCACCAAGGCGGAGAAGAAAGGAGACGAGTGATGTGCGGCGAAGCTGGCAGGTTATTTTCACAAAAGCGAAGAGGACGTCCTCTCATCTCTAGGAATCGGGCCGAAAAAAAACCTGGTGGGCTTTGAGAGATGCAGGATTCAGCATCCGTTGAACCAGAAGTTCTATGGTAGGTATTATTATAACTTACCTAGGTACTTCCACACTCACAAGAACAGAAATTATGAAGGTCGACAGAAAAGATGGCTCAAGACTATTTACAGTAACTTGATTCCGTGGAGGCTAGTTGAACGGGAAGCATGGTCGATCTGTTTTAATGGTTTCAATTTATTATTTAATGGACTTTAGTGTACAAATTTGGTGTTATTTTGTGTTCTAAAGTGCAGTGAAGTGATAAATTATAAAAAACATTGAAATACTTCGAATTTGAGCGGGCTCAAAAACTGAACTCCGACAAACGTTACTTCGACACTACACTACTTAGACAAAGGCGAATATCCTTTGTCGGATTTTGTTTATGATCCGTGGGTCTAGACAAAGTGCAAATTATAATCGCAAACCAGTCGAAAAGTGGTCGAAAAGCCCCTTTTTTGTATGGAATTTTGACGGATTCGATTTTCGATTCGATCAAAAAGTGCGTTTTGTCTAGGGGGGCCGGTATAGTTCCAAAATACTGGACTGTCCTGTCGATGACATTGACAGTGGGGCGCCACCGTCAATACCGGATCGCTGGTTCAGATTTTTGCCATGTTGGAAACCATATAGTTGAACGATGGTGGCGCCCCCCTGTCATTGAGTTTGGCGGGACAGTTCAGCGTGGGTCATCTATATTGACGGTGGCGCCCCACTGTCAATGTCATCGACAGGGCAGTCCAGTATTTTGGAACTATANTTTATGAAAATCCCAACTAATATTATAAATGCGAAAGTAACTCTGTCTGTCTGTCTGTCTGTCTGTCTGTCTGTCTGTCTGTCTGTCTGTCTGTCTGTCTGTCTGTCTGTCTGTCTGTTACGCTTTCCCGCTTAAACCTCGCAACCGATTTTGATGAAATTTGGCATAGAGATAGTTTGAGTCCCGGGAAAGAACATAGGATAGTTTTTATCCCGGTTTTTGAAATAGGGACGCGCGCGATAAAGTTTTTCTGTGACAGACAAAATCCCACGCGGGCGAAGCCGCGGGCGGAAAGCTAGTATTAAATAAGCCTATAATCCTGAATCCTGATACATAAAGTTAGCCTATTAATTTAATACAGGTACGACTGTACCCAGTGTTGCACTATCAAATGCAATTAAAGCGCCTCTATGCCAGGGTTTTTATGTTCCTGGTCAGGCTATATTTAGCATGGCCCATATTAGTGTTATAGCCTGACCAGGAACATAAAAACCCTGGCATAGAGGCGCTTCAATTGCATTTGATAGTGCAACACTGAGTACAGTCGTAGGGCAAGTGACCCGGTTGTGGCCACCGACCCCTTTGTGGCCATTTAGAACTTCAAATCGTTATAACTAAGGCAAAGACTAATACATTAACACATCGTGAACCACTTTTCTTTCACGACTATAAAAATATTTTAGCAATTTAATTCACAAAATCAATTGCACACATTTAAAATAAAGTTTGTTTACACTTTGACAACAATAGACTGACATGCAAGGTGACATGTCAATGAAGTTTTCAGTTACTGTTGCCATTAAAAGAAATTAGTACCATTAGTTTTCCGCAACATGGCGAGGGTTTTTATGTTCCTGGTCAGGCTATATAAGTGAATGGCGACGTCACAATCCGTCCGGCTTGTCACCGGACCTGGTATGACGACACTGACGACCACGACCACTCTGGCACAGTATATTATACATACATAATTATATGAGCTAAAAAAACATACGGGTCGAATTGAGAACCTCCTCCTTTTTTGAAGTCGGTTGAAAAGATATAATTTAGATACTGATAATATGATTTATAGCCTGACCAGGAACATAAAAACCCTGGCATAGAGGCGCGTCAATTGCATTTGATAGTGCAACACTGAGTACAGTCGTACCTGTGTTAAATTAATAGGCTTACTTTATGTATCAGGATTTAGGATTACGGGATAATTTGATATTTTCATAAATTAACGAAAAAATATTATTATAGGTAACCTGGTTTAAATAAATTAAATGAAACCATCAATCGAGCTAGTAGGATTTANGTGTTCATAAATAAAGTAAAATTATTAAATTCAAAAGTTTTTGTTTACTTATTTGCATTTCCATGTGCAATGTAGAATTTTTCCAAATCCATTGTTTTGAAAATAATACAATACGTACACCATAAAGATTTAATAAATATTTTCAAAATAGTGGATTTGAAAAAATTCTACATTGTACATTATAAAAACAATAATTCTTTGAAGGTTATGAGGGCCTATGTGTGCGTGAACTGTGTGTATGTGTGCGTGGACTTTATGTATGTATGTGTGCGTGTACTATGTATGTATGTGAGCGTTACGTACGTAGGTTAAGTACAGGGAATTTAACACCAGGCTGTCAATTAGTAGGCTCAAAAATTTGACAGAGAGGGTTCTCTATTTCCTATGTATTACTTTTCTCTATGATGAACAACCCGCTTTGGACCCGGTGGCGTCTTAAAACCTGCTTACGGGCATACTTAACTCCACGGAATCCATGAAAAATCAATAGAACACCCACGTATAGATGACCCACGCTGAACTGTCCCACCAAACTCAGTGACAGGGGGGCGCTACCATCGTTCAACTATATGGTTTCCAACATGGCAAAAATCTGAACCAGCGATCCGGTATAGACGGTGGCGCCCCACTGTCAATGTCATCGACAGGACAGTCCAGTATTTTGGAACTATACTATTGATAACTATGTCAATTTTCACTCGACATTGGCAGAAATAAACCTCCCAGAGAGGTTTGGTTGCCATTAAAAAAAATACAGTAACATAACGAGTAAAGGCGCGCGCGCACTGGTGTTTTTGTGAAATTATTGTGGGTTTCACCATCAATCCCTAATTTTTAAGTGACCCCTATGCAAACACAATTCCTGTTATGCGTTACGTCCTTTAATCTTCCTTATTTTGTAGGAACCATATAATTATNGACAGGGCAGTCCAGTATTTTGGAACTATACTATTGATAACTATGTCAATTTTCACTCGACATTGGCAGAAATAAACCTCCCAGAGAGGTTTGGTTGCCATTAAAAAAAAATACAGTAACATAACGAGTATAGATGACCCACGCTGAACTGTCCCACCAAACTCAATGACAGGGGGGCGCTACCATCGTTTAACTATATGGTTTCCAACATGGCAAAAATCTGAACCAGCGATCCGGTATTGACGGTGGCGCCCCACTGTCAATGTCATCGACAGGACAGTCCAGTATTTTGGAAATATAAAGGCGCGCGCGCACCGGTGTTTTTGTGAAATTATTGTGGGTTTCACCATCAATCCCTAATTTTTAAGTGACCCCTATGCAAACACAATTCCTGATAAGCGTTACGTCCCTTAATCTTCCTTATTTTGTAGGAACCATTTATAATTATGGTAGAATAAAAACTTTCTCCAGCTGAGCCGAGACAGCTACTACAACAATCCGTAATAAAAGCTGTAATCGACTTATATCAGCCAGCCCAGTAGGGTAGCCATGTTTTCCGTAGTTACACACCATGTTCATTAAATGATTTTCGCTGTTTAATCGTGAGGACCCGGGGTGAATTTAACCCAGAAGGCCTTTATAAGGCGGAAAAATTATTTTAGCTATCATACAAATCTTAACTACTAAAGGAGACGGAGGGACTTTCTTGAGTTTAGCTATAATTAAAATGATTTCAAATAAAATAATTTATTTTGCTTTGCTTTTAACGATCTGCAGTATTCAAGATGAATTTGTTTGCAGTCAAGAAGTAACATTATCAACAGGTAATTAATAACTTTAAATGTTTTTTGTTTAATTTAAGCCGGATCTCCAGGGCGTGTTTTGCTCTACACAATCAACAAAAACATGTCAACATTCAAAAATTTTTTTAGGCAATTTTGTTAAATTCAAGTCAAGTTCAGATAATTTTGTTGATTGTGTAGTAGGGCAACAAAACACACGCTGGAGACACCCGGCTGTATTAGTACCTACATAATGGTCACTTGTTTTGTTTACGATTTATTGTTGAAGTCACTGTAAGTTATTATTTAGGTAAGTACCTACTTAAACAAACATTGGCTAATTTTTCAGGACAGGAATGTCAAATGACTCCAGTCATTCATGTTCTTCGTCATCCTGGTTGCAAGCCAAAGGCGATACCATCGTTTGCTTGCGTTGGAAAATGTACAAGCTACGTACAGGTAAAATAAATGTAAATTAAAAGGAGAATAGTCAAACACTTCCTATCCATTATTATTACGTGCTTTTTATTTAAGGTATCCGGAAGCAAAATATGGCAGATGGAGCGAACTTGCAATTGCTGTCAAGAGTCTGGAGAACGTGAAGCCACAGTCGTCTTGTTTTGTCCTAAATCGAAAAACGAAGAAAAGAGGTTTATGAAGGTATCTACTTAAATTTTATTTACAACCCTATTGAGCTAACTGCGCAACTCTGTCCGAGTCCGTATCAGCAGCGTCGATGTGACGTCCGTCTCATGGCACAGTTAACTACACGTACACGTACACCATGCTACACTTTTATAGGATAATTGTAATTTAAAAATAGTTATTAAAATTGTATTTTTGTCATTTATATTATCAAATGTTTTGAAAAATTTCCCACTTCTTATAATCGCTCTGAATGAAAGGCATACCAACAACATAAAAATTTCAAATTGCATTTTATTACAAGACCGTTTCTTTCTGTTTAGGTATCGACAAAAGCTCCATTAGAATGCATGTGCCGTCCTTGTGGCAGCATCGATGAAAGTTCAATAGTTCCTCAAGAGATAGCTGGCTACTCGGAAGAGGGACCTCTGCACAACCACTTCAGGAAAACTCTTTAAAGCGAAAACCAAAACATGTTGTATTTCTACCAGATTAATCCTAGGTAGATAATGCTGTAAAGATTTGTTATTAAACTTAAGATTTTATTTTAATCAATAAAGGCCTTGACACATTATTTGCTTGTTTCAATTACTTTCACTACCCTTTACTTAAAGATTAACCCCTTTACTAATTAATTATTGGTATTGAAAAGATATAAGGTACGACTAATTTTATTTAGAACTAGATAACATTCATCATCATCATTTCAGCCACAGGACGTCCACTGCCTTAACATCATTACACAAAAAAGTTATTTGAAATTATTAACTTGGGTCTCCAGCGCATGTTTTGCCCTATAAAATCAACAAAAATATTGCATTCAACAAAATTGTCTTTACATCGGTCATCATGGAAAGCAAAAACATTATTGATGCAAACAAAAATGTGTAATGAGACAATGTTTTTTGTAAGAAAGAAAGAAAGAAAAAATATTTATTTGGTACATTTGGTATTCTTGCAGACAATTTTGTTTATTGTTAATTTTTGTCATGTGTAAGGCAAAACACGAGCTGTAGACTAGGCTTTATTTTAATATTTCTGTCTCCCAGAAATAACAAGGATATTTTCTGGAGCAACGTTATTTTTTTTACAAAAAATAAAAAAAGTCACTGTCAGTATGTCACTTATGTCATTCATTTGTCATTTGATTGATTTGTTTTGTTTCTGATTGAGCGATTCGTAGCTGGATTTCTGTGCATTTTCAATTTATTTTTACTAAAATTTTATCAATATGAGTCGCCGAAAGCGAGCAAAGGTAACAATTTAAATTATGGAAAGAGCTGTATAGATATTTATCCCTTTATATTTGTTTTGAACATGAGGTTATGTTTGGGTTGTTATAGGTTGAAAACCGCGAAATGGATGAAAAACTAAAGCAAGATGATTCTGAATCTGATCAATCTGAAAGAAGCAAAGTTACTTCTTCAAGTCCGACGTCGGTCGGTGGTCGACGAGAGTCATCATCGAGTCGAACAACTGAAGTCAAAGAATCTAGGAAAGAAGAGAAGGTGACTATAGAAGAGACCAAAAGCGACGACATTGAAGAGATAAACTATAAAGAAATGCTAAACAGGTAAATTTAGAAAATAATACTGGGTAGGTTTATTTTTAACTACACCGCACAGACTAAAATAAAATTGTTACAGGCAAACTTAACATACAAACCTAATAAGTTGCTTAAATTTTACAGTTTGGAAGGTGCAGCATTTCAATCACGGTTGCCATTTGACAAAATGTCTTCATTAGAAGCAGAAAGTTTCTCCGATCTCCAGGGAGCGTCCAGTCAAGCATTTGTCCAAATCAGAAATCGGGTTCTTAAACTCTGGTTTGAGGACCCTAAGAAGCAGCTTACTCAGGAATATGCTGTTCAGAAAATGGAAGTAAGTGATAAAAAGCTCAAAAAAACTTGTTTGTAACAATACATTTTATTTCAGTATTAGACATGTTAAATAGAAGTTTCCATCCATTTTTATTCTGTCAGCTCAAAGTCCTATTGTAGAGAAAATGCAGTATTTCTTTTTTCTTATTATAGGCTCCTTATAATGGTGATCCAGCATTGGTGATGAGGACACATGCGTTTCTTGAAAGACACGGATTTATAAATTATGGTATTTATGAACGTATCACACCTATTCCGGCACCACCCAAAGGAAAACAGAGACCTAAAGTGATAATCATTGGAGCAGGTATTTATGTGATTTTTAAAGAAATGACTCACAAATGCTAGTTGAAAATTTGCATTCTTTTGCTATTATTAAATGGCTTAGTGTCTATCATACTCTGTAGTCTGTTCTTATAAACACGCATAGTATTTTCCATTTCATGAGAGACATGAAGGCTTAGAATATTGGCTACTATTTGTTGTATCTCTCACTGGTCAATTAACGATAGAATGGAGATCGAGACACAAATACACAATGCAAAAGTGTCTTACCAGGCTCTGTACTAATGCATACGAAAGGCTATGGTTCAATAAAACAGTATTTGCGTTTTGGTAGCTTTATTGTTCTAGGGNTGTTCTGGAGCATTACTAAGTATATTAAAATTTGATGTAAGTTTTTGGCCCTAAAAATGTTTCAACATTCTTACAGGTGTATCAGGCCTAGCTGCTGCCCGTCAACTCCAATCCTTTGGTTGTGAGGTTGTCATTTTAGAGGGACGAGATAGAGTGGGAGGACGGATTTGCACATATAGAAAAGGTCCATATGTAGCGGATTTAGGTACGAATCAATCATTTAATGGTACAACACAAAACTTGTTGAGTATAGATAGACTAGAGCAGGTGTGGCCCACGTAAGTCCTCTCGAACTCTGCTACAAGAAGTCTGAGCTAGCAGCGGCGGGGGCAGGCGCAAGCTGCGGCTGTCATCCCGCCCGAGGCGCGAGTTGATTATTTTATTTATATTTTAATAGCAAGGAGAGTGCTATCACTATTGTGTATTTTTATTGGCCCACGAAAATACTAAGAGTAGGCGCACACCGTTGATTTTTCGTCGGCCGATAGTTTAGTCGGGCAGTTGATCAGTATGAGCATGTATGGGAGTGCGCGCACACTACGCCGATTCGATTTGGCCGATTCTTCATACAAATTAAAATCGGGCACAACTATCGGCCAACTAAAAATCAACGGTGTGCGCCTACTCTAAACCTCCATAAAATTATGTTAGACACCACTGGACTAGAGCATTTACTTGTAACAGAACAAAACAATTAGTGTATAGTGTGTAAACAAAATATCTAATGTGCCACTCTGTCAATAACCAGACGTCATACATTTTACTTGCACACATTTGTAATGTTATATAACATAGGAATGCTCTAGCTAGTCTACATTCACCTTAAGGCTCTTTTTGTAAAAAGAAAGTTAATTCACTAAAGAGACCAATTTGCTTACATCATACAGGGTGTTGATTTCAATCCTCGCCATATTTATTTAGGTGATCTATTTATATTAACGCATTATTCACAAAAAAAAATTACAAACGAAAGTGGAATTTTTAGCGAATATTTTTCGTGCGAAATCACCTGTACTGTGTCTCGCAAAACTGTAATAATAGTTTAAACTGCGGCACCATCGAGCTACGCGGATCGCTCGCTTATCATGTCGGATAGCCTACTGAAAGTAGCCACGTAAAGTAGGTAGTGTAAATAGGTATTTTTCTTTGACGAACTAAAGTTAAAGTTCATTTTAAATACGCTACTAATCATCTCTCTAAATATGGCGAGTATTGAAATCAACAGCCTGTATAAAATTCAGTACTGCTATCTTTATCTGATTGTGGTGCCAATATTTTCATTTCAGGAGCTATGGTGGTTACTGGGCTAGGTGGTAACCCGGTAACAACTTTATCAGTTCAGATGAATATGGAACTGCATAAGATAAAACAGAAGTGTCCCCTATATGAAGCCACTGGAAATCAAGTTCCTAAACACAAAGATGAAATGGTATGTAAAATATGGTGAAAACATCTAATACATAATAAATATCCTCATTTTGAATGAGATGCAGAGAAATTTTATAAAATAATTGATACTTCTTCTCAGCACTTGCCAAATGCTGGTCTCGAAGCATTGGTAGGGCAAAAAGAGTATGAGACATAAGAGCAAAACTAAGTTTTTTTATTTTTTCTGTGAAATATTTGACGATTTGTAAGCACAATTCAATAGTCCATACAAATAAAGATTTTTTTTTACTTTGAATGCAGTTAGGGCAAATGGTGAATAAAATTTTGCTTCTCAGGAGTTGCATAACTTTCTGACTTAGACTAGGCGCAGACCATCGAATTTTAGTTGGCCGATAGTTTGGCCCGATTTTAATTTATATGAAGAATCGGCCAAATCAAATCGGTGTAATGTGCGCACTTCCATACATGCCCATACTGATCAACTGCCCGAGGCGTACC